AAGGGAAACATGCGGGGAGGTGGAAATGTGGGCCTGGAGATGGGGAATCCAAGTGGGCTGGGTGGGGCTCCGCTCACAGTTCTCATGGGCCGACGTGAGCACTGCTACAGACCCTGAGTATGCCCATTCCTGGCCTTCACATGCAGAAGGCAGGCCTGGCAGGGCGCTGGCGGCAGCATGGGCACTGGGCCAGGCAAGGGTGGCAGCAGGGCTCCGCACAGGCCTGCTACCCTCTGCTTGCTCATCTCTCAGGTGCCTTCAGTGAGATACTGTGTTTCCCAAACTCCAAGTCCCCTTCCTTTCATGGGAGACACAAATGCATTTTCAACTCTTCTGGAGTTTGGGTTTTCCTTTTAATCCCATGCGGCCTTTGCAGCCATCACTTTGGCTCCTATATTTAACCTGTTTAATGAGATTTCTTTTCCAGTAATTCCTGAAACTGGTAATCTCTAATTGGGTCAAATTCTCTACCCACAAGCCAGCGATTCTATTTTTAGCACAAATCCTCAGGCTGAAGCTTCCCCTGGCTTTCAGCGCAGCTGTCAGAACGACTTTCTGCCATGCTCTGCTCTCCCCAGCCAGCCTGATTTTCAATATTTTCCCGGTATGTTTCAGGGTGAGCCTTCACTCCTCCTCCTCCCCATCTCCAGTATTGACCACCAGGTTGGTTTCCACAAGTTCATTTAATGCAGGTTGGCTAAGGTCCCCAGTGTCACTATAAATACCTAAGTCCCAGCGGCTTTGGGGAAGTGCTGAGTACTCTCCTCTCCTGTCGCCTTTGTCCCAGTTGTAGGTGGTCCCCCAAGGAGAGTGACTACTAAGAGCCTTATTTCATGAACTGTAGGGACCCTGCAGATCACTGGAGAATTCACAGAGAATCTTGTCCTTGTCCTCATTCAGTCAGGGGACCCTGCTCTGCAGTACTTCCCATCTCAGATGAGGCACTACTCTCTCACTATGTTGGGGACAGGACTACAAGTTCCCCATGGGAACAAGAAAGCCAAAGTTATCATACCTATTTGTTTTATTAAGAGGAAAGCATGGTTATGAGGAGGTAACCTAGTGGCCATCCTCCCAGACCAGGATGGCACAATTCCCTGGACAACGGGCCCCTCCTCTGCTTACCTCTGATGGGGAGGTGGTGCTTCCCAGAAGAGGGGGACTTTGCTGTGATCTGTGTAACCCATCCCCAGTATTTACCCTCTGTTACACAGAATGTTATCCAAGAGAGAACACAGGCTAGGTGCATTCGTCTATTCCAGTATGGTGTCATCTAATTACATCTGCAACGACCTTATTTCCAAGTAAGGTCACAGTTCTGAGCTGCTGGGGATTGGGACTTCAACATATGAATTTTGGGAGACAAAATTCAGCCAATGACACCCACAGAGAGTCAGGGATGTTTACTTCACTACATCTCAGATAACTTCCTTGTCATCCCTGGCTGCAATATAGCCATTTGAAGGCCTTCTACTTCCAGTCTGGCAAATGGGAAGAGAGAGCATTGACATATAAGAGAACAAGTCCAGAGTGTTCATAATAACAACCCCTCCCAGGCCTTAAGTACAGAGTTGGAATTAGGAGACCAAGCGTACACCAGGCTCTAGGGCTTTGCATCTCTTTGACTTAGGCAACTTCCAAGAATTTTATGCTGTGAAGAGCAAAAGAGATGATGGACATAAAATGATATGTGAGCCCCATCATTGCAAAGGGCGATGGGTCCTGGAGTGACCCTCTTTCCAGTAACCCTGATATACACATTACAAGCTCTTTAGAAAGAAATTGATACCAGTCTTACCTATTAAATCTGGGTGAGGACTGAGTTTGTTATAGGACAGGGAGAGGGGTAGCCCAAGCCCCGCAAACCTGCCTATTCTAAATGGGTTCTGCCATCCGCCGCATCAACACAAAACATAGGAGACTTTAATGGGAAGGAACTTTAATAAAACTAGGAAACAATACAGGTAAGGCAAAGAGTCTAGTTTCTAAATGAAGCACCCAAAGTTACCCGTCCCCTCGTGGGTAAAAGTCCATCCATATGGGATCGGCCCAGAACAAGGCCCCAAAGCCTGCTACAAGTCTAAAGCATCTTCCAGTGGGGACCCACAGCAAAGGGTCACAAACAACCGGACAAGCCCGGAAGGAAAAGAGCAAAATCAACATCAAGATAAAAGCTGTCATGGTCACCTCCCCACGGGTCTCACCCACATCTGTGTCACCCCGTCCACTACCAAAAGACAAGCGCAGTTTCTTCACGTGTCTCTAGGCTCCATGCGCCTCCTCCAGGTCTCCTGGCTCCATCCTGCTTCCTTCCTCAGTCTCTTCTGCAGCTTCTCCTCTTCCTGCTCAGCTCCACCCTCCCTTGGGTGGGGCAGGGAACCTCCCCCTTTCCTGGGGACCACCCTGTTACAAGTTGAGAACACATGAATGACAAGAGGGTTAGTTATGTGTGAACTTTGTACCCAGATCTCTTGGTCATACATCTTTTACTCTTGATCAATTTTTTGGACATTATTCATAAAATCATAAGGACTTAAAAAAATCCCATGCCCTTTAACAAGAGAATCTACTCTAGATACTTTATAAAATACTAGTAAAATTAAAAACAAACTATTAACTCTAGTTGTCTTAATGAAAAATAAAGTCCTGCAGACTTTGCCACCACTTGGGCACAGGCAGGAGAGTACATAATGGAAGATGGCATTTTGTCCAGTTAGTCCAGTGGTGATGCTCATGATCCTCCTTGGCCCATTTGCTGCCCTTTAGGGGCTTCCAATCCCAAAAGAGGAGGAGATAAATCAACAGATAACCTGATAGAGAGATGGTGGGTGGTTAAGAGAGAAGTCAGGAAGACTTCACAGAGGAGGTGCCCTGCATGGGGATGCAATTCAGGAGAAGGGATTTGGTATTTGCTCATGTGATCTTGTTAGGGGGAAAAGGCTGTCCTAAAGCTAATTCCATACAGGCTTTGTGGACTCCACCCCCACTCCAGGCCAAAGCCAAAGACACTGGGAACTCCAAATCCCATCACCACCGAAGGGAAGGTGGCTGGGACCTGAGGGTGGGGTTAAGCATCCAGGTTGATATAAGGCAGACGCGTGGGCTTTGGAGGGGTCCCCCATTTTGACTCTCCCCCAGCTCGCAGTGTCTGGCCAGCTCGGAGAGTGCTTTTTGGGTTTCCAGGTCGGCGGATCGGGTAGGATGCGTTAAAGACTTTATTTCCCTATTTTCTACCTGAGTTGTACATTTTCCTTATTTCCTTTTCCCTTGTAAATAAACCTTTTATTAACCTTTTGTGTATGTCTGTAGTGGAGTATTAATAAGTCCCTTGTAAGCGCGCGGGTGAGGACCCACAGCCAGGCAACCCGTTCAATATCGGGGCTGCCCTATAACAATCTCTTGGGGACATAGAGTGAAAAGAGCTCATGGTCTTAGCAAAGACTGGGAAGTGCCATTTCAAAACTATCAGAGCTGATAGGTGACTACACGGGACCTTTACAAAAATAGGAGCTTCATATGGCATAACTATACTGATTCCAGAGAAATTTGAGACACACCTCAATTTCTATTTCTTATGCCCACCTAACAACAGTTGGGATACCTGAACAGCTCATCCTGAAGCTCACTGGAGTTTCTGGAATTCCTGTAAAATAGGCCCATGCCTGGGCCATCCCAATTCATTCTGGATATCTGGAATTGGACCAGGCAAGGACCTCTTACAGGGGTGTTAGGCTCTGTGGCCAGTTCTTTGTCCATCTACACAGAGGATTGAATGAGAAGCAGCAGGGATCATGGAGAGCCAGAGTTCTGCCAGAAGTCCTAAGCCCTCTATGGTCCCTGGAGCCAGGTGCTTACCTGGGACTCCAGTATGAAGGGGAACAGAGGTACCCACACCAGGGGCCATTTTGAGTACCAAATGAGATAATGTGTATGAAGCAGCAGCACAAAGCCTTTGTCTTGTAGTGAATGCCTGTAAGCACTGGGACACACACTTGCCACAACCCATCGGAAGAAAACATTTTGCTGCTGCTTTCTGCTTCTCCCTGGGGCAAATCAGAGTTCCTTTCCCCTTCCTTTCCCATCCCATCCCTGCATCAAAGCCTCTTCCTTCCCTAGATGCTTTGTCTTAAACTGGCTCCTTCTGCACCTAAGAGACATGGTCCTGTTGGGTGCACATGCCTCTCAGATCCATACTTTTTGGGGGCTATTTGTCAGGACCCACTACCTCCACATAGTTTCCCCAACCCTGCTTGCTCACAGGATTTGGATGAGCCCAGAGCAGGGCTTGCCCCCAGGCTGCCTCCTGGAGCAATGTTTTGAGGGGCTGGGGCAGGGGCAGGGGCAGGGGCAGGGCAGGCAGGGGAACTGATGCTGCCGGCAGCCACCCCACCTTCCATCCTCCAGGGGGATCTTCATTCATCTCCGTCTCGCTGAGCAGGACCTCGGCCCTAGCTCCACAATGGAATGGAGTGCCACCCTACCCCGCCCCCACCCCGAATTGAGTGACCCGGTTTATTGTGGAGGGCACATATGTCCCCTTTCCTTCTCCTACCCTCGGAATCGTGCAGAATTTCACCTTTTTTAATGCCCCAAGAGATTGCACAGCGCGCTGCACCATGCACAGATGGGGAAACTGCGACTCGGTGGGCAAAGCCGGCGCCCAAGGTTGCTCGTCCGCTCGGGCAGCCGGAGGCGTGGGCTGCGGAGAGGGGGCGTGGGGCAGTGCGCGCGCTTGGGCTCTGCGCGCCCCGGCCCGCGGCTCGGGCTCCGCTGTCGCAGCGCGGGAGGACGCCCGGGAGGACCGCAGCCGGGGCGCGAGCGGCGCCAGTGCGCAGGCGCGGGGCGGGAGGCGCCGCGCTCGGGGTACGCGCGCGGGGCAAGCGGCACCTCAACTTCGTCCGCCGAGCCGGGCGCCTAGCCGCCCGCGCCGGCCCGCCCCGGCGCCGCCGCCCGCGCCCCGGCGCCCCGGGACGGCGAGGGGCGCGTCCGCGTCCGCGGTCGCTGCATGGCGCTGAGATGGCGGGGGCGCCGCGCGGCCGAGGCGGCGGCGGACGCGGCGCGGGCGAGCCCGGGGGCGCTGAGCGGGCGGCAGGGTCGGGCGGCCGGCAGGGGCTCCGAGCGTGCGGCGAGGAGTTCGCGTGCCCGGAGCTGGAGGCGCTGTTCCGCGGCTACACGCTGCGGCTGGAGCAGGCGGCCACGCTGAAGGCGCTGGTCGTGCTCAGTCTCCTGGCGGGCACGCTGGCGCTCGCCGAGCTCCTGGGCGCGCCCGGGCCCGCGCCTGGCCTGGCCAAAGGCTCGCACCCCGTGCACTGCATCCTTTTCCTGGCGCTCCTCGTGGTCACCAATGTCCGCTCCTTGCAGGTGCCCCAGCTGCAGCAGGTCGGCCGGCTCGCCCTGCTTTTCAGCCTCACCTTCGCACTGCTCTGCTGCCCCTTCGCGCTCGGTGGTCCCGCCGGGACTCAGGCTGGGGCTGCTGCGGTGCCCGTGGCCGCGGAGCAAGGCGTTTGGCAGCTCCTTTTAGTCACCTTCGTGTCCTATGCTCTGCTGCCCGTGCGCAGCGTGCTGGCCATCGGCTTCGGTCTCGTGGTGGCTGCCTCACACTTGCTGGTCACGGCCACCCTGGTGCCCACCAAGCGTTCACGTCACTGGAGTACGGTAAGTGCTGCCTCGACCCCCGATCTGGTCTGGAAGCAACCTGCTCCGGAAGCAGTGGCACGATTGGGAACTGGAGGTGCATCTACCTATTGGGCAGCGGGGAAAACTGAGGTTCTGAATGGGGGGTTTTGTCTTCAAGGTCACTCAGAGACCTGGGGAGGCAGTGGGGGCGGGCATGGGATGGGATCGCCTGTGAGTTACAGTCCACAGCAGCACCTCTGGGCGTGGAGCATGAAGACGGAAGTCTGGCCCTAGAGAGGGCCAGGACTGACCCAAGGTCAGGTAGCTGGTGGCTAGTCCAGCGGGGCTGGAGCCCTGGCCCACTGTTCTTTGGCTGTACCCATCTGCAGGACAGACAGAAAGTGGGCTGGTTGAGGGTTCCTGCTGCTTCTTTTCAATGTGCCCAGTGCACTGAGGGGCTTGCAAAGTCACCCTCCCAACCCTATAGATGAGGGAGATGTAGGGAGAGGGAAAGGAATTTGCCTTCTTTGGTCACTTTGGCGCCCCATTGTGGACCATCTGTGGTCAAGAAGAACAGGGTTTGCCAAGGTCACACAGGGTCTGGACCCTGCTACCCCACTCCTGTGTGACTGTGGCCCCTGGTGACTTGCAGTGCCTGAACTTTGTCACTGTCTCCCCTGGGCAGGACAGAGGGTGGCTCGGCTCCTCCCAGTCCCAAGACCCCGGAGGCTGCAGGCAGATGTCTTTGCTAAGTGGGGCTTTTTGAAATTTGTGACTGTGCATTTCATCCCACCCTAGCATGAAAGGCCCATGAAGGTTTTGTTCCTTCCTGAGGGTGGTGGGAATCACATGGGGTGGGGGAGTCCATCTAGGGGCACATGGAGGAAAGGAGGTGTAATGTGAGCTTTGGTAAGAACAACTGGGGTGTGTGTGTGTGTGTGTGTGTGTGTGTGTGTGTGGTCACATAGCCGGGGTCTATGGGGACCAAGGAGTCACTACTCATGGACCAAGGGGTGTGTCCTTAGGTGGTGATGCCCAGGACAGCACATGGTCACAGGGCTATGGGACACACAGAAAGGCCCATGACTCAACCTGCATTTTAGGGTAGAGAGGGAGAGAGAGACACACATGCACAATCAGCATGTGCTGGGACTGGGAAGACAAGAGGAGGAAATACTTGGAGGGGAATACCTGGCAGGGAGCGGGCCAGGACGTCAAGGGAAGAGAGAAAAGTATAGAGTGAAGGCCAGAGACAGAGAGGTGCCAGAAATAAAGACTGAGAAGAAGGGAGATGGGCCAGAGGGCTGCATGCCTCAGGGAGAGGAGGGGTGGTGGGGTCTACAGCTCTCTTCTTATGGCAGCAGGAGGGCTTGCTTGACCTATTGAGGGGTGCTCCCCTTACAGCTCTCCCATCTATTGTGTGTTTGGCCTCCACAACTGGACCCACCCCAAGTGGAGCAACCCCCTTACTGGGACTAGAAGGGACCCCAGAAGCCAGATCAGCTCAGAGACCAGGGAGGCTGAGCGCACTTGGCCAGGCTCAGAGGCCCAGGGCCTTGCTGAGGTCTGTACACCAGGGGCTCAGCTGGTTCTGTGAAAGGCTGCACCATTGTCTTCTTTTAAATAAATTTTTCTATAGCCATTTGATTTAGAGAATTAAAAGATTGAAAGAGAGAGGAGAATCTGTTATGGTGGCCAGAACGCATATTCTGACAGCAGACATCTGGGGTTCCCTGCTAGGAGCTGTGACTCCCTGGGCGATGCAGGCCTTCCCTCACTAGGCCTCATTCCCCCCTTTAAAAACAGTTTTGTAATGCTCCTATAGGGCTGTCGTAAAGGCAAAATGTTCATATTGGAAAAGCACACATTTTGAAATCTTCTGCCACTTCTAATCATTTTGGCTCCTTGAGGATATTCCTATTCAAATCCATGTGTACACACAGGTGATGGTGGTATTGACAAATAGATATAGGGAGGTGCAGAGAAACATATGGTAAGGGACTCAATGATGCCCGAGGGATTCTCCCTCCCAATTAGAAAATTCTGGGAGTCTGTGAAATCCGTCCTTAATGAGCTCTGCAACTTGGTGAAGATTTGCGAAGCCATCCTGCAGTGTAGTCACCTGCCCGCGGTGCCGCTTCCTCAGGATCGAATCTGGGACATGCAGAAGCCATGCAGGGCACTGGGTAGATGCCCAGAAGAAGCTGACGCTTACCCCCCAACCCCCATTGCTTGAATGCAGTGTGTCATATGCCCTCTGGAGAAAGTGTGCTCCGGAGACTGAGGCTGGGGTAGGGCTCAGCTGTGGGCTCCCAGAGCCACTCTCCCTTTGTAGGGAGGCTCCTGGAGTTTCCTGCAGCACTCTTGTGCTGCCCTGGTGTACAGGAATCTGGGGTGCCATGAATATGCTTAGGGGCTCTGTAGAACCCAGGCTGGCTCTGAGGCTGGGTGGTAGAGGAAAATGCCCAGGAAGAAGGGCACAGAGTTGAGATTTGAGGGGCTAGTGTTCTGCCCCTCCCTGAGAAGGTGTGCCTACTGCTGCTCTCCTGCAGGGCAGAAAGAGTTCAGGGCATACAGCCTATTCCACTGGCCTGCCATAGAGGAGAAGCCACAAAAATATTGACCAGAGCAGGTTTCCTTCTAGCCCAGCCCCTTGTGTAGTCCCACTGGTTGTCCCTAAACTAAGGACAGGAATTCCTTTTTATTTAACTGAGCCACATGTCAGAACTGGAGGCATCATGTTCAGGAATACCCAAAACCTGCTAAACACTGCAGTGGTGGGGGGATGGCCCAGCCTGGTGTGGCTGAAGAGGGTGTGTGTGTGTGTGTGTGTGGGGTGTCAGTGGGTTTGGGGGGGGTTGGTTTGCAGCAATGTGGGGAGCATGAAGCAGTGGGATGGGAGAAGGGGGAGATGCAACCTGGTGATGTGTCTGATGGCATTCACCAGTGTCCAAAGCCCTGAGGGGCACAGCTTGGCCTCAGCAGGTGACCTGTTCAGGCACTAGAGGGATGCGGGAGGGGAGGAGGTCTAGTTAGGGTGTTAAGGTGTGCACAGATGGCAGTGTCATACAGGGGAGTGATGGTGGGAGAGGGGTTTCTCTGGAGAAGGGCCACCTGGCATCTTGGCCACTGGCTCAGGATTCCCACCCACAGGGGACTCTGCATAGCCCTGCCCACTCGTGTGCCTGGGGCGTAAGCCATTACTGTGCACGAGGCAGCCTCCCACTTCCTCCTTTTGCAGCTCCTCACAGCTTCAAGTGTCTCTTTCCTGCTTCTTGGCCTGTGTGGGTCAAGATTACTGTTTTTGCTTGAGTGGGGGTGGGTAGCTAGGGTTCAGGGCAGTGTGCAGAATGTCTCTTTTCAATTTGGTTGCCCATCGATGTAAGTGACATCAGCACACACAGGATAAGAGGAATCACTGCTGGCAGGAAAGTGGAAACTGGCTGGAATATCCCCTCCCTACAACCTCCCTCTTGCCCCCACCCTGCATTCTGAGCTGTAGCAGAGACCTGGAGGTGCTGGCAGCCCAGCCCTGTAACTGTTCAAAGAATATTTCTTGGTGCTGTCCAGCTACCTGGTGCTTCCCAGCAGAGACCACGCCCAGGTATGCGCTAGGCACCTTTGCCCAGGCGGTACCAAATACTAATTACCCACACCCAGCTTGCAGCTTTGAGGCAAGCATCCCAGGTCTTCATCTGGAAATCCAGTGCCCCCGCCCCACAACCTGGCCCCCTGCTGCCCTGCTTCCTAGTCTGCCTCTTCTTTGGGCTTGCCCTTCCCCCTACAAGTCCCCTTCCCAGTTGGACCCACCCTGCCCTCCCCTGCCCGCCACAATCTCCCCACTCCCTCCCTGCTTCCTGTCCCCCAGCTAGCCCTTCCACCACTGAATCACTAGTCTGCTGACCTGCTGCTGGACCCTTGCTGGGGTGGCCCCTCCTTTGCTGACCCTCCTGTCCCATCTGGCCCCTCCTCTGACCAGACCTCATCCTTTTCATCCTTCCCTCCAGATCCCTGACCCTCTGGGTCTCTGCTCCCTGCTCCCAGGACCTTACCCAAGCTGGGCTCCTCTGACTGTGCTGGGTCCTCCCCCCCCCCCTTTTCCTCTTCTGCCTACAAGGCAGTGCATCTACTCCCTTGACTCCCTTGGCTGACCGGGTGATGACCTGATTGGGACCCTCTGGTGCAGGCCCAGCTGTGTGAAGGCATGGAGTGGGCTTCCCGGGAGCAGTGGTGAATGATTACACAGGTAATCTCTTCTGTTCCTTGCCCCCTTTCTCCCCCAGTACCCCCAGGCCTCTGGTCACCTGGCAGGGCTCAGCTTCAGAAATCTTCCTTTTACTGCCTCCAGTTTCACATCCCACCACATTCACCTTTCCCACCCAGCTTCGTCCTGAGCTCCAGGTGGGGTCCAGTGCTTCCTCCGTCTACCCCAGACCCCTCATCTGAAGGTGGGTTTTTATTTGACCTGATGCAGTTCTCTGGGGTGCAGTGTTCCTTTGCTGAAGTGGACTCTTAAGTTCTGAAGTGGTCCTGTGCCTGTAAAGGGCTGGCTCCCCAGGCCTGGCTGCCTAGTGCCCTTCTCCAGGTAGTGTGCTTCAGCACGTACTGTCATGACATGCTGCTTGTGGGGCCCATCTGCTCAGGTGCCTGGTTTCTGGTAGTGCAGCTGCTGCTGGTTGGCCTGCCAGGGCCTTGTTGCTCAGGCAGCTGTCCTCCCAGGACTGCAGGCACTGCATGCCCAGGTTCAGGATATCAGATACCATGAGGGGGTCACAGGAGTCATGTACTAGAGCAACTTTATGTGAAACGGTTAGTGCATTTTCCGGGTCTCTTTGCCTGTTTTCTTAAATGAGAGACTCAATCTTCTGTCAAGGGAAATGTTTTTCCTGACAAAAAGGGCCTCAAAAGGGGATCTGAAGTTCCTGCTATCTGATCTTGTTTTCCTAGACCGCTGTTTCCCAAACACCAGGTGCCCTGCTGTGTGAATGATTATTCACATTTAGGTGAGCACATTTAGCAATCATTGGTTTAGATGAAGA